CCACCTGGTTGAAGATTGTCCTCCACTTCAACGACCCTCCACCCTTTCCAGCATCATGTCCTCCAAGGAATAGCATCTCTTAGCGACATGTCCAGAGTATGTGAAGTGAAACCTCATTATTCTTGCCTCCAAAGAGCACTCAAGCTGTACCCTCTTCAAGACTTGTCTGTTTGTTCTCTTATGAAAACATGTTGAAATGAAAGAGCTGAACAAATGATTTCAAAAGGCAGTTTGGGAGGATATAGTATTATAATTGAATGTGCAGAGCTGGAATTGGAGAATAAAAGGGGACTAACTCACTCTGCATTTCTCAAGCTGAAAAACAGATTTAAGCCTCATGTAGCAATATTGAAAGATATGATGGGGAATATATTGAATAACCCAGAAAGCATCAAAAGAAGATGGACTACAGAGTCAAAGTACCTGAAAGAATTGATTGACACTGAAAAATTTCAGGAAATACTATATGAACAGGAGCCAGTGGTAATGAAGATCTAGAAAAAGAGAAATCTTAATTTTAAAAACTACTTAAACTTATACTAAAACTCTCTGGCTTTGCTAGTGAACATTGTTGTTGTTGTTGTTGTTATGTGCCATCGAGTCACTGTGACTCATAGCAACCCCATGTACAGCAGCCCTATACCCTTCTCTATCCTGTGCCAGTCTCACTGTCTCTGACACCTATCCCTCCTTATCCCAGTCACTGAGTCAATTCACTTCATAGAGTGTCTTCCTCTTCTGCACTGTCCCTCCACCCACCTAAGCATAAGCATGACATCATAAAGAATTAACACTAGTCCTTCACGTACTCTTCCTAAAAATACAGAGGAAGCATTGCCAGTATCAGTTCTATGATGCAAGAATTACCCTGATACAACCAACAAAGACATCCCAAGAAAGAAAGCCATATACCAGTATTGTTTAGCTTTATAGATCCAGAAATGCTCAACAAAACGCTTGTTCTTTTTAGTTGCTGTCAAGTTGGCTGTGACTCATAGCAATCCTGTGAACAAATGGTTAGAATTTTGCCCTACCCTGTGTGTCATCATCTCTGTTTATTCTTGAGCCACAGTCTTCGTGTCAATCATCTTGTTGAGAATCTTCCTCTCTTTTGCTGACACTCCACTTTTCCAAGCATGATATCTTTTTTCCATGGACTGAACTCTTCCTTGCTACTTAGGAGGACTCTGTTTTTACTTTCTCCAAGACATACTTCTTTGTTCTTTTGGCAGTACTCTTCTCCACACCATATTCGTTGTTCCACTTTCAGATGCATAGGAATTAATTGAAAAGACTATGGCTTGAATCATGTGCACCTTTGTGGTTAAGCTGACATTACCACTAATTAGCACCTTGGAGAGGTACTTGACAGTAGAGTTTTCCAATGCATTACATCTTTCTATTTCTTTACTGCTAGTACCAAGCACTTGCAGAAGATCAAAGACTACAGCCTTCAATATAGATTGCATTTATTATTTTTAGTAATAAGTATTTTATACAGTAATCATTTACAGAAAGAAAATACAATATACAAACTGCAGATAGACTCTGAAGAATTTTCAGTGATTAACAAGTTTTAGCAAAGTCCTTTAGAAGCAATTTCTTTTGGGTTTACAGGAATACTTACTGTTATATTGTATGTTTTGTAAATTCCAATAAGTCTGTCTGAAATTTTAAACATGTTATTACAAAGAGAAATTCTTTTTAATTGGGCATTTTTTTTCTTTGTCCATATATATAAAATGCAACAGTAGACACATTTTTAAAATCCAAGGCAGCGTCAGTCTTATCTATGAAGTAAAGGGGAATGGGTTTATAATGGTGAAGAGCAAATACTAAAGCCAAGGAACTAAAGGTCTCCTCTCTTCTAGCAAGGTTGAAGATCTTCCAACTTTTCTTAGGTGTATAGATTGCAGTTTTTTTTTTTATAGATTGCAATTTAATATCAAGTAAACTTCTGTATTTACCCTGGAGCAGTGGTCAATTTTATGATAGATGGAGCAAGGACTGCAACTGCTAATGATTTTGTCTTGCTTGGATCCACATTAAAAAATGTGTTGGACCTATTGACTTTTTTCCCCCAGTTTTTTTATTATTAATTTTAATAGACATTTACAGAGGTTTTGGATTTCTATTCATTCATTGCCGCACTTTTCTCCCTGCCCACCCCTCCCCACCAGCTCGCTCCCCCCTCCAAAGAGAAAAAGAAAAAACAATATTCCTTCATTAGTATACAATTCCCACATCCCTTCCCCCCACCCCCCACCCCAAGTACACTTCTCTATGCAACCTTAATTCTGGATTCCTGTGCTATAATACTCAATCATATATCGCCTCTAATTTGTTCTTTATCTGTTTCAATACAATATACATAATTTATCCAGTTTTTTTGTCATACCCCAACCCTGATGTCAGATCCATTCTACAACAGTGGCACCATGCATGCAGTATTTTGGACCTATTGACTTTTATGTTTCCTGAGAGTATTATTGCAATACCCCAAGGCCAGCAAAGTATCCCTACAGGGTGTTTAGTTATAATTAAGAAGTTTTCATAACTTGCCTTCTCCTCCACTCCCCCCACTCTGGCTCTCCTGTATACATGGATCTGTTTATAACATATACTAACATGAATGCAGAAATATCATCTATCTAACCTATCTGGTCATTGGTACAGTCCCTTTCCACATTTGTATATCTGTTCATTTTGCTTGTATGCCTCTATACCTTTTTGTAAATGAATGTTTACCATTGCTGATAGTGCAGGATTTGAATATATAGTGTGTCAGCTTGTATGGACTGTATTTCTTGTACACGTCTCTGTGTCTCAACTTCCTTTAGTGATTTGTTGTTAGGTGCTATGGAGTTGAGTATGACCCATAGCTACCCTGTGAACATCAGATCTGAACCCTGTCTTATCCTGTGCCATCCTCACAATTTCTGACACCCTTGAGCCCGTTGCAGCAGTAACTGTATTAGTCTGCCTGGTTGAGGGTCTTCCCCTCTTTTGCTATCCCTCCATTTTCCCAAGCATAGTGTTCTAAGAAATAACCTATAGCAACATGCCTGAAGTGTGTGAAATGAAGCTTTATCATCTTTGCCTTCAAGGAGCACTCTGGCTGCACCTTCTCCAAGACATATTTGTTCTTTTGACAGTACCTGGGATATTCAGTATTCTTCTCCAGCATCACAACTCAGTGGTATTAATTCTTCTCTATCTTTGTTCAGTATTCATTGTTCAGCTCTCAGTTGCATAGCATGTAACTGAAAAGACCATGGCCTGAATTAGGCACACCTTAGCCCTCAAACTTACATCATTGCTCCATAATAATTTGGAGAGGTTCCTGACTACAGACTTCTCCAGTATGTCTTCCAATCTCCTGATTGTTGGCCTGATTGCTATATTGATTGTGGACCCAAGTAAAATGAAAATATTGACAACTTCAGTCTTTTCTCTATCTATCATGATATTACCTATTTTGTTTTTTGACATTGAGGTATAATCCATATTGAAGGCTGTATTCTTTGATCTTCTGAAACAAGTGCTTCAAGTCTCACTTTTTTCAAATTAGTAGGAATAGAACTATGAAGAGGCCTTCCCCCCACCCTTTTTCCAAATAGTAATTGATCACTTAATTGTTTTAATGACTAGATAACCCTTATATTGTTAATTAAAAATTAATAGACTTGGGGTACCCAGCATGCCATAACTCTAGAATCTGTTAAATTGATGTATTTTTCTAAGTTAACATTTTTACATTGAAAACCCAATTTTTCACTACACTGTCTGCATATATTAAAAAAACATAAGTGGAATGGGATAGCCCACGTTTGACTTCTAATTACGAAGAGGAACAGTCCCCATCAACAGCATTCATAATACAGAGCCAGTTCCTACAAGGTCAGACTTGACCTCTATGCTCCCACCACTTGTACTGCTCTGCTGTTCTTGTTAATTGGTGCCATTGAGTTGACTACCACTCATAGTGACCCTGTAAACAACAGATCTGAATCTTGCCCTATTTTGTAGCAACCTCATGTTCTATACCATATTCAAGTCTATGGTTGCAGTCACTGTGTCAATCTGTCTTGTTTAAGATCTTCTTCTCTTTGCCTGACTCTTCACGTTTCCCAGCATGATGTCTGTATCCAAAAACTATCTCTTCCGATAACATGTCCAAAGTATGTGTGATGAAGTTTTACCATCCTTGCCTCTAAAAAACACACTGGTTGTACTTCCTCCAAGATAGACTTGTTTGTACTTTTAGCAGTTCATGGGATATTCAGTGCTCTTTTCCAGTATTACGTTCAAAAACATTGGTGGTTCTTTTGTTAATGCTTATTCATTGTCCAACTTTTAGATGAATAGAAAGTAAAAGACCATGGCATATATTAGATGCACGTTGGTCTACCACTCTATTACTGGGGCTGAAATGTGTTGCAGTGACCCATACAGATCTCACAGGACCATAATCATGGTTAGGGAGTTTACTTGAGAAGTTAACAGATTACAGTTCTTCAGTCAGGACAATTCAGGTTTGGTCACAGGCCCTATGACATTCAGCTCATGGCTTAGGTCATCGTTATAGAGTTCCCTTAGTCCTGCTACTTACAGCATCTCTCCTCAATCCTACAGCAAGCTTTGATAAAGGCACCTGGCTCTGCCTCTGTGGGCCACAATCTCAAGGCAGCTCTGTCACATAATCTCTGGTTCTCTGTTGTGTCTGCTGTTCTGAAGGATGTACACTACATAATCCACTGCTTCTTAGTGAGATTCCCACCTTTGTTACTTCACCTGCTCAATTTAAACGTCATTGGATGGGAAAAAAGTGATGAGTCTCATGATTTTTAGTTTACAAATACCCTATTTCAGGTTAGCACCTAGTCATGTGGTAAAAATCAAAGCTGGTGGGTAGGAAAGTAATTTTCATCAATAAACTCATAACATCACAGCATAACAACAATGAACCCTTAATAGTTTTTGCTCTTTTTCCCACCCAGAGGATCTGAAAAGGCAAAATGCAGTGTTACAGGCTGCACAAGATGATTTGGGTCAACTTCGGACACAGCTATGGGAAGCTCAAGCAGAGATGGAGAATATTAAGGCCATTGCCACAGTCTCTGAGAATACCAAGCAAGAAGCTATAGATGAAGTGAAAAGACAATGGAGGGAAGAAGTTGCTTCACTTCAGGCTGTAATGAAAGGTAAAGTCTAAAAGGTCTTTTTTCAGATTTATTGTGCATTGTATGATTTTTTAAAGCTGATTCTAATTTTTCAATTTTTAGAAATATTTCACTCATTAAAATCATTTGAACATTTTTAGAAGATTTTCAGCCATTCTGATTTGTGGCTTTACATACTGTTATATTCCAGATAGATTATCATCTTCATAACATAAAAGGGAAGCCAGTGACAGTGCAAATGGAGAATTGCAGTGAACACAGAAAGTGAGCTACATGTGAGCAGACATGATCCGGATGATGTTATTGCTTATACACATGACACTAAGCCAGTTGTTGCCCTTCTAGATTCGTTTTTATAAAGTAATGATCATCTGTGTGATGGAATGCCATACAGACTAGAACAGGCTTTTTGGATTTCCTCTCTTAAAGTGTTTTTGTTATGACACTTAAGAGTCAGAACCGAGATAGGGAGAGAGACATCATCCTTGGAAAGGTGAAGGAAACCCTCAACCAGATGGATTGACCCAGTGACTGCAGCAATGGCTTCAAGTATGTTAGAGATTATGGATGGGACAGGATAGGACTTGGTTCAGATCTGTTTCCATAAGTTTACTGTGGGTCATACTAGTGGTACCTAACAATGACATATTTATTCTTACATTTTTCTTTTTAGTATTAGACATATAACAACAATATATAACAAATATATATGTATATCTATATCAACAGTATATAACCAAATCAAACCCAGAGCACTGCTGTTGAGTTGATTCTGGCTCATGACAATGTACCATTGGGTTTTTGAGATAGTCATTCTTTTTTTTTCTTTTGAGACAGTAATTCTTTATTAAAGAGTTTGTCCATCTTCCTTCTAAGTAGCTGTAGGATTTGAACCTTTCATCCAACATGTAATTCAGAATGCCACTAGGGTTGCTTAGGAAGTTCATACAATATTGTTATGTGCTATTTGTACTATGTGCACTGGGGATGATAGGAGAATTGATGCCTCTGAACTGTGGTGCTGGCGAAGAGTATTTAATATACCATGGACTGCTAGGAGAACAAACAGGTTTGTCCTGGGGAGGGTGAGACCAGTCTGCTCCTTGGAGGCAAGGATTCTGAGGCTTCATCTGACATACTTTGGACACGTTGCAAAGCGAGACCTGTCCTTAGAGAGGGATGTCATGCTTGGAAGGGTAGAGGATCATCGCAGGTGAGGAAGACCCTCGATTATATGGACTGATTCAGTGACTAGGGTAACTGGGTTAGGTGTGTCAGAGACAGTAAGGTTGAAAGTGAGTAAGGATATAGCAGTGTGTAGGGGTGTTGTACATAGGGTCGCAATGAGTCACAGATGACTCAAAGGCACATAACGACAACCACAGTTTTGCAGCCTGTAATTTGCTAATGTCATCACACCTCTTAGTTGGTAGGTATTATTTCCAACTCCAAAGACAAATATTGGAATTGTAAAGACAGAGATTAAAAGTTAGTGAAAACTAAAGGGGGAAAGGGAACTCTGGAGACCTAGCAGTAAGGAGTTGCACTTCTAATCTGAAGGCACACAGTTTAAATCCCCCAGCTGCTCTGCAGGAATAAGATGGGCAGTATCCTCTGGTGTGATTTACTGCTTCTGAAAACCCACTAAAAGGTCAACTATAAGACAGTAACAGCAACAAGATGGGGTAGGTAGGTAGATATCTGACCTTAGTTAACTGATTTATGGTAACAGGGTTGATGGAACCTTGTCTTAAGTCAGAGGCTCCCTGTGGTTTAGTCTTTATCTCATGTTGATACTTGTGTTTAATTACTTCTCACATTTCTGAGATAACTATAAAGGTAAATTTTCTCCTGTGTGTTTGGGTTCCTGGATTTAGTTTTGTTCGTACTATAAATAGGAAATCAAACTCATTACTATTAAGTTGGAACCGACTCATAGCTGATCCTGAGACTGTAAATTGCATGGGAAGAGATTGCTCATATTTTACCCTGAAGAGCCACTGATGGTTTCCAGCTGCCTTTGGGTTAGCACTGCACCTTTTTATGTAGTATACCACCAGAGTGTTCCAATACGACAAGTGATGTCCTCCCCCCACCTTTCCTTCATATTTGAGTATACTTTCTGCCTTACTGCTCTCTTTAGAAGACAAGTAAAGCCAATTCAAATGAAATTCCTCTGAGTTTTTGTCTCTTATCTAGAGATTACTTTAGAGCTCATTTAAAAAACCAGACTATAGTGATTTACCAAATAGTTTATTTTTGTCATAGAAAATAAAATCCAGTAGTAGGTGATAGGGGGGGCTGGTATTGTGGTTTCATGATGCCACCAGTGTTCCAGGCCAGTCCTTTGGTTCCTTTAACCTTAGCATGTGGTTTTTCAGCTTCATCTTTGCTTGCTTTATGACTGCTCCTCCATTCAGCAAAGCAAAATTCTTCTCACTTTCTAGTATGTATCTCCTTATGCTTTATTGGCCATAAATGTGTGATTATCTGTAACATTGACTTCTCCAGAAAAATTAGAATTTGTTAATAAGGAAAAAGTAGTAGATATGCCATATAATGTTTTAAATTATATTAAAGATAGTTTCTGAAGACTTCCTAGAATTTGTCTTAATTTAGAATCTTGAGCTAGAGTTAAGTATTCCAGAAATACCTCCTTTTTCTCCCCACAAGTAATTGATTTGAGGTGTTATATTTGTCTTTGGAGTAGTAGTGTGGTGTTTTAAGAACATAAATGTGGAGTTTGCCATATATTTGAATTCTAGGTCTGTTTTCTAGTTGTGAAACTTTAGCCAAATTATTTAACCTTTGTTATGTTCTTCTTTGGTAGTTTTGGTGACCTTGTGGATAAGGAATTACACTGCCATCCCAAAGGCCAGTGGTTTGAGACCACCAGTTGCTTCTTGGGAGGAAAGCAAACATTCTCCTCCCTTGTAACTTACAGTTTCTGAAAACTTGTTGCAGGGTCAGCCATCAGTTAAGTTCTGACTTGACAGCAGTGAGTTTTGTGTTGAGATGTTCTTACCTGCAAAATAATTTGTTGGCACATGAGTATTTTGAAGTATATTCACTCATTCATTTTCTTTGCTGTCAAGTTGACCCATAGCAACTCTCTATCAGATTTCCTAGGATGTAATCAAAATGGCAAAGAGGAGAGGCAGCCTGTCTTTTTCCTGAGTGGTGGATTGTGGATCTGAATTGCTAGTGATAGACCGCCTCTTGGTTTGCAGTGCAACTTGCTATAAACTACACCATCAGAGTTCCTTGAAAATTAGAGGTGATTCTTCAAAGCACTTAGAATGATTTCTTCACACTAGAACTATCAATTTTAGTACTTAAGTGAATTAAAAGCTTTTATTAAAGTAGAAATAAGTTCTATGTAACTTCTTTTAAAAGAATATCAGCACATTTTTTCCTTAATGCTTAAATATTAAATATCTGGTGATGTTTTATAGAAACAGTTCGAGACTATGAGCATCAGTTCCACCTTAGGCTGGAGCAGGAGCGAGCACAGTGGACACAGTATCGAGAATCTGCAGAAAGAGAAATAGCTGACTTAAGGAGAAGGCTGTCTGAAGGTCAAGAGGAGGAAAATTTAGAAAATGAAATGAAAAAGGTATGAGAAATGTATTCATCCCTAGGAATATTTGAATCTAAACGGCAAAGTGCTTTAAGAATATGGTGGTAATAGAATCTCTGCATACATGTTTTCCGTTAACTGCTTGGACATAGATTTAAATATAATACCAGATAATTTTATGTTCTTCCCCAGATAGAACTATGACTTATTCTCTAAGCTTCTTCAACTATTTGATCAGATACTACAACCTCGTGAGCCTTATCCTGAGAACCCCATGTAGCATTGCAATGTCCTTGCCTCCCATCCACACACTGATCTCCCTTACCCTGCTCCATTTTGTCTTTTCTGATAGTACATATGTTCTTAAAATATACACTTAATTCTTTTTATTGTTTGCTGTTTACTTGCTAGACTGTGAACTCCCTGAGGACAAGAAACTTGTTGATTTGTGTATTTTAAATGACTAGGTGCTCAATAAATATTTACTAAATATATATTACTGGTTGGTGACTGTGTCTAAACAAAAACTTCAGAACATGTGTTGGTTTTCTTATTTTCTAAGTATGTGTTTTTTCTTGTGTGATGGATGCATTTCATGTTATGGCTGGGAAACCAATGGTGCTCAAATGTAAGTCAGCTAATTATAAGATGAGCTATTTGTTGCATAAATAAATCTTAAAAATTTTGCAGTCAGTTCCTTACATAAGCTTTTATTTTATTAGTTTATGTACATATTTAAAATAAAGTAGCTATTTTTCTTTTCATTTGCATGAATCTTAATCCTTGGTTCATATATAGGTCACTGTGAAGCACTTAGAAAGTTATTCATCTTCATATACATTTTATTATCTTTTTTTTTTATTACTGTGAAAACCATCTAAGAATCCAGCACCCTAAAAAGAAAATAAATACCTAGAAGTCTTGTTTTCCATTCTGTCATTTTAGAAAAAAACTTAATCACTACAGTCACTTTATTAGCTACTGTACATATTCTGAGCAATTTTCACTTTTTTCTGAGTTGTTTTAGATGTATTTTTATTTGATGCCATCACTGACAATCTTGCCACAAGTGCATGAGGTTAGTTCTTTTTATATTCTTCTAATATATCAGTTTTCATGATCTGACTTTTTCTCATTTTTAAATTATATTTTTAAAAGAAACTATTTTTCAGAGCAGTTTTTTATTTATAAGAAAATTGCAAAGATAGTCAAAGAAATCTTTCTATATACTCAACATCTAATTTTTTCTATAATTAACATTTTCTTTAGAGCTCAGGAATGTGGAAGGACAGAGTAAAACCCTAGAGGAGATGAATTGACACAGTAACTGGAGTAATGGGAGTAGGTGTGTCGGAGTCAGACTGGCTCAGGATAGACCAGGGTGCAGAGCTGTTGTGTATAGGGTAGTAGTGAGTGATAAGCGACTCGATGGCACATAATAACAACAACATGGAGCTCTGATGGATAATGACAAAGACTGTGCTGCCATCCCAAAGGCAAGAATCGTCCAGCTTTCATGAGGGGATGTTGGGCAGTCTCCTCCCATAATTATTGCTTCTGAAAACCCATTGGAGGGTGAGCTGTGAATCGATTCTGACTTGTCAGTACACAACAACAATTAGTGGAACAATTTTGATTTGTTAATATCAACTGAAATCTGTTCTTTATGATAAGATTTTTTTTATTTTTTAGCTAATGCCCTTTTTTCCTTTACAGAATCTCATCCAGAATACTATATTGCATTTAGTTATCTTGTCTCCTTGGACTCCTCTTGATTATTCTCATATTTTTTTTTAATGATCTTCTATCATTTTAAAAATGATCTTTGAAAGTTTTGCTTACAAGGATACTTAGCATTTCCAGTCATGAGGCTACTGCGTTTGTATTAATAAGTAGTCAATCTGTGTTAAATTCCTTGGTCTCTTTTCTCCTTTTTTCTTTTCATTGCTATTGTTGTTTGATGTCTTTGAGTCATATGACTCATGGTGACTCCATGAACAACAGATCTGAACTCTGTCCTATCCTACACTGTCTTTATTATCCCTGACACACTTGAGCCCACCTCTGTATGCATCCCAAATTAGCCTTGACTGTAAATCTATATATTTTTTTTTTATAAATTGACAAAGTAGAGAATCAGTGAAGGACAGGATAACTCTTTTTTTTATTTTTTATTTTATTATTTTGTGTATGTGTGTTTGTGTACCGTCAAATCAGATCTGACTGGTACAGGAGGAGATTGCCCCTCCTTCTCCGGCAGAGCACCTGGTGGATTAGAACCTCATATCTCTGGGATTGCAGTGCAGCTTCTTGCCACTAGGCCACCAGAGCTCCCCTGACTATAAATCTATTTTAAGCTAAAAGATGTTCTTTTTAAAATGGAAGATAAAGCAAAATAAATTATTAAATAACTTTTTAGGACTAGAAAATAAAGTGAACTCTTTTTTGGGGGATATAGACTTTTAGTGATATTTCCATTCACATTTTGTCATCGTAATATTTCTTCTTTCCTGAACAACTATTTTGGATAAGTCTTAAGTTCATACAAATTCTACAAAGTTCATTTTTATTTTCAGTGGGCGGAAAATAGCTAACTTTTTTAAAGTCTGTCTTTGTTTCTACGTATGTGTATTTTTGTGTGTGTGCAATTAATGAAAATGATGTTTATCAGTTTATTAATTTATATTTTATTCTGTTTTAGTCCATATTTTTAAGGATGAGGACAGAAAACAATATGTTCAGAGGTTTTAAAATTTTATTTATTAATACACAGCTTTAGTTTGCTTGGCTCCATAGTCAACAGTCTTGGCACCAGCAGCCAGGAAATTAAAAGGCGCATTGCCATGGGAAAGTCTGCTGTTA